GTCTCCCTCCACCATACTCCAAATACATTCGATCAGAAGTAATCTGCATCCAAAGCCTCAGACAGGATGTAGTCGTAAGTTGTCAGCCAGCAGCCAGCACCGTCCTGCCGACGAACCTCTCTCCTTCGGTTTATCCGTGCCAACTCCCCAGCCCGCAAGTGCTCGAAAGCCCGGAAGTAGGTTGTGGCCTGTAAGGAGGGTGTTCAAGAGGGCCAGAACCAGCGGGTGGAGGGCGGCCGCGTCACAGACCTCGACGGCCAAGAAATTTCAGGCTTGGCGCGACGGGCCGTGCAGCGATGCTTTTGGATTCATAATGGCGTCCCGGGGGAAGCATGAATCTCTAAAGCCCCGAATGCCTTCCCTCAGGAGCCACTTAGCCAGACAGCCCGAAACTGGGCCAGGAGAGGGCTGCAGCTTCTACACCTGCGGGCCGTCAATGCGCCTTGCGGAGGCTGGAGCAGTGGACATTTGCTGTACTCGGCTGAACTCCATGTTTTGTGGACGGCGGGTCGGGGTCCGGGCAGTAGTGACTTCGAGCTGTTGGCGCCCTGATCTGAGGCTGTCGAATAAAATGCTCCCAATTCAACTCGTGTAATTACTTCCGAGTTGCTCCCGAGACCGTCTGGGAACAGCAGCTTGAGAGAAGTTGCACTCCTCCATTCCTACGATAGGATTCAGGCCACTTGGGAGTATGTTGGAAGTGGTGGCTACTTCATGCTCCAGACTCGGGTATGCGGATTCTCCCCACAAAGTGCTTTCAAGACAGATAAACGATAACGATAACCCTGCCTCGATCTTCACCCTCAGAATGTACAGCGCTCCCTTATGTGTGTAGCAAGATAGGGTTTTCATGACTGCATTATCTGGAAGGGTTTGCTTGGACGTCCTCCCGTGGGGTGTGAATGGGCCGCTCTTCTGGATGATTTTGGTTGGGCCATGAGTTTTCAACGCCTCATGCCAGGGCTCTGGAGCGAGACCCAGCGCACGACCCTCGACTCTGAAAGCGGGTCATCGATGGTTTCAGAAGTTCAGACTGCTCAAACAGCCAGGGCCCATCGGCCCATCGTCTCTAGGCCAGGATGAAGACAGTCCGCCAGTGCTGTGACTGAAACCAGACTAGGACTTGCCGTGGGAGTCGGCGCAGAGGTGTAGAGAGGGACAGCATCAGGCTACCTTGAGATGCTCGAGACCGCTGCGGTTGAAGCCGGGCGACTCTGCCTAGTTGCTTCGTTGTGATTCATCCTTTGCTTCAGTACCACGGAATATACTTATTCCATGTCTGATCATGACTGCATGTAGCACTGCGACGACGACGACGTGCTACTAAAACTCCTGCGGCGCTGCTGATCTGCTGGGACGTCTGCTAGACGTTCTACCACTTCTGGCAGCGCGATTGAGAATTGTTGCTCCTCTGCTTCCACTTAGCTGCTGCATAGCTCTGTAACTTCCAGCACTACGACAGCGACTGCATGTACTCAATCACTGCTGGCTCCACGAGACTAGCATGCTTCTCAGCATGTTTTCCAGCCTCAAGCCTTGGAAGATCCTTCGAGGTGTGAAGGTTCACCTGAACTTGCAAACTGACAGAACTTGAGTGTTCCTACACGGTCTTAGCAGTTGGAATGCGCGTTCAAGGCACGCTTTGAGCAATTTGTTGCCTCAGGTGTACGTGTAGCAGGGTACAAGAATGTTCAAACTTAAGCAGCTTAAGTATGTCTATCCCCCGGCCCCAACCATGTCCAGAGCCACAGCTGGAAACATCGCTTAACTCTTCACTTTGACCGACGGAGCCTGGAGCACATACGCCAAAGCCTTCTTGGGCTCAGGCTACCCGATACCTGGGCCGAGTCCTTCCGAGATCGTCGGTGCCAAATGCCTCGCAGCCCGTCGCTGATGCGCGAGGCGCCAGGGTAGTGCGGTGTGCAAGGGCGAGTCTTTAGGGAGTTTAGGGTTGCTACCCAATGAGACCGTCTGAACTCATGCTTGGAGATTTCGGGGTAGTCGCTTGTTCGCAGTCTCTCTCTCAAGGGTCGCTCCGTATTGGGTGGTGGGAAGTCAAAGCATAATCAGTATAGTCATCATACCGGACTTCTTCCGTTGATCTCGACCATGTCTCGTGGGTTGGAACAAGTTATCGACAGAACGGCTTTTGCTAGAAGCCCTCTTCCTCTTAGTGCAAAAATGTTGGCTCTGGGGCCAAACTGACCTTCCGTCTCTGCAACGAGCTGTGGCCGAATCCCCGTCCTTCAGACCCTGCAGATGGAAGTGTGAACAAGTCTCTGTGGGAGGCGCTACTTGCTGGTCTTCCCCCAGGAAGGGCTTCGAGTCACTGCGGCCCTCTCCGGCCTTTGGAGTTCCCAGGTTATCCCATATTCTCATGCTGCGCTAGAGCCTGCAGAACTTCCCAGGACGACATGCCTTGGACCTCCTGTATTCAAGCGCCACAACGTGCCTTTGCAAGACCCTGTCTATAAGCCAATCAATCCGTTGCCAGGAGCCGCTGCAATCTCCTTTGCCTCAAGCATCGCAGGGGAGCAGGCGAGCTTGGTCCTTTCGCGGCCCCCTTGTGTCGATCTGCTTCGTCTCGGATGTTCAGGTTTGTCAGCCTTAATCAAACTGGCGTCCCAGGGTGAAGTTGGATCGAACAACGTTAGCCTCTTGTCTCCTGTCAACACTTATCCCGCTCGCGGCATTGATCTCCCGTTAAAAAAAAGGGTCTTCACCTGGGCATCTTCAGGTTCTCTTCTTGGGCTGCACCACATCTCTCTGTCCAGCCTCACCCTGCCAAAGGCGCTGACATCTCTGTGCGGCCTCGTTTTCGCATGCAAAGACGCACCGGAGGCCACTGTCATGGTGTTCAGTCTGTGCTCAACTGGGTTTGGCGTGCGGAATACCGACGGTGCCGCTACATTTGTTGGCCGTCATTCCTGCCCGTGGATCTAGTCACTCGGAACATGATGCGAAGCACGGGTAAGGAGCAGTCGGAGTTCCTGTTGATTCGATACTGGTACAGCGAAACAGCTGGTGCAGCGAAGTAGCGCAGGCCGTCTTTCCTGCGCTATCGATGCAGGAGGTTGGGCCTGGATGTGGCTAATTGTTTTGAGTGGAAGGGCATCTACTGCCTGTGATGTGAACGATGCTCATCTTCGCACCTCATCCGAAGATGGTGCTCTGCAGGCCCAATACACAGCATGGCAAAGTAGCATACCGAAGCAGTGCTCGCTGTTGCATTCGAACCTAACTGCTACTTTCAAGTCCCGTTGTGCACAAAGCGTTCCAGGACAAGATTTCGGAGGAGTTCTGCAAACCTGAAAAACTAGCGACCCAGCTGATGCCAGATGGCGCTGGCAGTTCTTCGCCGTGGTGTGCGGCCCTGGCGTGGCGAAAAGATGCCTGATGCACTGGAAGAGGCTGGGGTCCCTGCCCGGTTCGATGCACACATAATCTACACATGACATGTGACACATATATGCATGTAACGTTGCACTGGGTTCAGTGGGTGGCCCCTCTTGCCCCAAACATTTCACCCCGGCCTGAGTAGTGACCCCTGTGTGCTCCCCAGCACCCCCTTTCTCCCTAGAGTGGGAACAGACGTACATTCGTAGCGAGATAAGACAGCTGCAGACAATCGCACGCTAGTGCAATAGTACAGGAGTATACTAGTCGGGCTTGGGTTCGGTTGGGGTCTGAGTATAACTCGAAGGGTTTGGGGTTTGGGAGGGTCTGGTGGGTTCCGGGGGAGGGGTTCGACTGGGGTCAAAGTAGGTGGGCTTCGCTGGAAGGGTTTTGGGAGGGTCTGTTTTTGTGTTTTGTTGTTGGGGGGGGGGGGGGGGNNCGTGGTAGGTTGGATTGTGAGTGAGGTGGACGGAACTGGAGTAGGCTTAGGAGGGTCTTTTTGTTTTCGTTCGGGGGGTTGGGTTCGATTGGGGTTTGGGATTGCGTTGGAAATCAAGCCTCAGGCCTCTTCTCCTCATCCTCTACGCTGTGCTCTGTTAAGATTGACCATTCGCAGAAAGGACAAAGCAAGCCGAAAACATCTGTCGGGCAAAAAAGCACATGAATTATAGAGGGTGGGCAAAAGTTGTGACAAACACTGAACAAGCCACCGGAAAATGCATCAAAGACTGCAACTTGTTAAACAAGAGTGCGACATCAAAAGCCTTGAGCTGATGAAGTGCTCAGGCTCCATCAATCTAAATGCTGCCACGAATGTGGCTTCCATCACCGCGTCAACCTAGTGCTGCGGCCACGCTTGGTTGCAGGGTCGTGAGCACTCTAGTCCAGTGTCGTTCGCATGAAGACCGATCGCCAGACGGGTTCCGGCGAGGGTCATTACTCGCTGTAAGTTCACGAGATTTTGTGGCAGTCCTTCGATTTGAGAGTGCCGTTTGAAACTGCTAGTAGTGTCCGGAAAGTGGTCCTAATCTCCGACATCACACGGGGGACCATCCGCGATGATGATGTGTCCCCAACCCTCAAATGAAATGCATGCTCCAGCAGAGTTACCTGCTGTTCTACAGAGTCTAGGAGCATCCACAACAAGACCAGTCGATCTAGCTTCACATGTAAGACGCCCCCGCGCCTCTGGCCCCGGCGAGCAGGCACGGCAGCTCTGGGGCGCTGACCGGGTGGAGGAGGTCCTTAGCTGCTGGCTGGCGCAGTTCCACTCGCTCTTCGGGCCACCCTTGGCAGAGCTGGCCGAGGCGGGGTTTAGGGTTTGGGTTTAGGGTTTAGGGTCAATGCAGCTTAGAGGGGCGGATTTGCTTGCAGGATCTGCTATTGTGCGCAATTTTTGCTGCGTCCACCGCCCGCCTGTAACGCACAGTGTCGCTACTGCTACACACGTTCATCTGTCTGATTTTTGGCTTCCTTGTTAGGATTTGTGCGACTGTTGATCAACACTGTTTTCGCATATGGTGGCTGTTCTTCATGTAAATAACTAAGTATATGCATTGCGATGAGCTGCTCAGGTTGCATTTAGCATCGCGGCTCTTCGAGCTTCAAAGGGGGGTTTTGAGAAGGATCAGCCGGTCGCCTTGAGTTTGGCAGGAATAGCGTAGGAACCTGCGACATTAAGTTGGGCACAGTCGCAGCGGCAAAGGGCATACAGGTGGGTTCTGAGTGTTCTATCTCCGTCCTGTGTTTTCAAAACTCACTCTTGAGATTACCCCATCGGTCTTTCATGCCAGCATTGGTCATGAAAAGGAAGACTACAGCACTCCTGACAGAGTCCATGTGTGAATCATCGTGAACGCGCATTTTCATCTGCATCTGAGTCACATGGTGTCTGTGCCTTTGTCTGCTGTGTGTCGTGTGAGTGTGTGCGTTTGTTCCCTCGCACCCTCACTTTCTCTGTCTCTCCACGCCTGTACCGATCGGATCTACCGGACATCCGTCAAGCCTTCGTAGAGTGTCGCCCAGGACTGGGAAGCTGCTGCGACGCCTCACCGGCTTCCCCTGTAAATCTGCAAAAAGGGGCCTGACCGTGGTTAGAGGATGGACCCGGAAGTCTGGAAAGTTTCTAGCTGGAACTTGACATGCGTACACTGGCCAGTAGTCATTTGTGCCACAGAACTGGAGGAAAACATCATGCTTAAGTGTTCAGGCTCTTACAATCCCTTACTTTAACGAGACCCTGAAGCCCCTGCTGTGCGTGCTTTGTACAGTTCTCGAGCTTTTCCGCATCAGAGGCTGCGAATAAAAATTCCGGTGCCGAGGCACCAGTAAACGAGCTCTTGAGCTGTAGCAGTCTAACCGGGGAAGCAGCAGGCTTCATCAGGCTTCACTTCCTCCCATCGAACCACGAATCCAGCCTTTCATGAAGTTTCGGCTGAGGCTGGACCTCTTGATTCCATGCCTGGTCACCTTCGCCCCCTGCAGGCCGACACCTTTTGCCACGTTTTCGTTCCGGCTAAGACAAGACCTGAGAATGTTTTGGGGCAAACTACGCCGACACAGCCAGGAGACGATACATATACATACATATATATATATAAATAATGTATATATGTATCCACATTTATAGTACGTACGTATCTATCTATCTATCTATCTGTCTATCCTATTCTATCCTATCCTATCCTTCTCTATCTATCTGTCTATCTATCTATCGATCTATCTATCTACCGATCTATCTATTTATCTACCTAACCTAACCTTACCTTACCTACCTATCTATCTATCTGTCTGTCTGCCTATCGATCTATCTATCTCTCTGTCTATCTGCCTATCTTATCTTATCTTATCTTATCTTATCTTATCTTATCTTATCTTATCTTATCTTATCTTATCTTATCTTATCTTATCTTATCTATCTATCTACCTAACTACCTATCTACATATGTACATACATACAGTACATTACATGACATCACATCACATTACATTACATCACATAACACTACATCACATAACGCAACATAACGTAACATAACATAACATAACATAACATACATACATACATACATACATACCTTCGCGCGTGCGTACGTACGTACGTTTGTAGGCACGTACGTACGTACGTTCCCACATTGCACTAGACAATTGTTTTGGGCATGGATGTTTTTTTCCCAAACGCTTTCGATGAACATCAAGACCGCCAAAAATTGACACATCATTCTGATCGCTAGTTGCCGGGCATGAAAATCCAGACCGCAAAAAGCAGCCAAAAACAACATCTGAAAGACGAGTGCTCTAAATACCACCATTTTGGCTGCAAGAGCCAGGGACGACGTTCAAAAAGCAGCAACAAACAAGCACATGTCCGCACGCTTTCCAAACTTTGACGCACATACGTACACACACACACAAGACACACATAATCACACATACACACATACATCCATACATATGTGTATATCCATATATATATATATGCAGGGGTTCCTCATCTTGGATTGGGAGCTCGATGAAGCAAACAGGGCTCCTTAATAGGATGCTCTTCGGCCTGAGGATCTTCCGTGTCACCAGTATGTTAGACGCATACCAATTTGAAACAGAATCTTCGTTCCAAGGTGTAATCAAGCAAGCGCATGAGGTTTGTAGGCAAGAGGCAGCAACGGTTTGCCGTGTGCCTCGACCCCGTCCAGGCGCGGGCTTCGCAGCCTGCCTGCGCTGAGAGTGGAGGGCTAGTGTCACTGGCGGACAACGATCTGCCCTCATTGAATTGCTTAGTTGGCTTAGTTTCAATAGAAAAGCTTGCGATGGGAACAAGAAGCCAAAACCTGTCGGGGAAATGATCACCTCACAGTTTGGGCATCACATGTGCAATAGTTGGTCGGGAGATGCCAGGAGCAGGGTATGCAGCGTCGGAGATGCCAATCTTTGCATCTAACTCCTCAGCCATCTGACAAGCGTACCAGCAACAAAGAGGACCTGACCATTGCCATGGAGACATCTGACTATGGCAGTACCCGTGCCCATCCCCCAAAGTGACAGTCGGCCATTACGACTGTGGTTCAAGAACTTCCGGGAACTTAGCAGCACCCCGACCGAATCCATCTACACAGAAACTCCAATCCTTCCAGCTGTACTGACAGTACCAGCCGGAACAATATAGAAGCTTGAATGATCAGTAATACTAGTCATGTACTTCGTGTTCCTTTTCCAAGTTGAAAAGCACATAGCATTGTCGCATAGGTGTCGCATCGTAGAATCCCCCAAAAAACCGGTTCTAAGCCTATATAACTTTGAATTCCTTCCTTTTTGGCTTGCCGTGACCCCCACCTAAACCCTAAACCCTAAAACCCTAAACCCCTAAACCCTAAACCCCTAAACCCCTAAACCCATGACCCCCAGATGCTGCCCAAATGGCGCCTCGCGGCCCTGGCTTTGCTGCGCGTGGCCCTGGGGCTCAGCGGCCTGGCGCATCTTGGGCCGAGGTCCCCTCGACCGCAGCGCTTAAAGGTAGCTGTCATCATTATTACAAACTGTTAGTTTGTTGTTGGTATTAATTATATATGGTTGTTGTTGTTGAGACTATGCCTCTATTCTTATTTAGTTTGGCATGATTCTGTTGCTGTTGTTTGTATTTGCCCGATGATGTTCTTCTTTTGTAACTCTTGTTTTTAGTATCTTTTTATGTTCCTGCATGCAGTCTGAGTCTACTCCCTTCCACGAGCCTCGCGGATTTTTCCCGAGCCCATCTCTGAAAACGGACGCACTTGTGCAGGCTTCCACTTCAAATTCGCGATCCCTCCAAGGCCGGTTGGAATCCGAAAGAGCGCACGCCCTCCATGGCCTTCCCATGCTGTCGACTGCGTTTTCATTGTGTCGTGTCGGGGAACGAGACGCTGTGTATGTGAACGGATGCATACTGTATCCGGCTCCGATATGGGAAGCCCGAGAATTTGATCGAGCTTCCTGGAGCCCTGGACATGTCTGTGAGACATGGTCTTGACGTATCACGCAGGTGTCACTTCTTGGTCTTCAGAGCGGCCAGCTTCTCGTTGCTCATCACGCTCCTTGCTGAAGCTTCAGGAGTGGAGCGAAGCCCAAGACCGCCAAGAGCGATGCGTCGATGCCCATGTGTGTCCGAGGCAGCTTCGAACAACGTGTCGGACACGCAGGCTGGAGGGGAGCTGAGAGTTGCACGGATGGATGGTCGTTCATCCGGTCTGTGGTGGGGGTCTTCCTTACCATGAACTTCCGTAGTCATGTAGTCTTAAGGGAACTCTTCAACACGAAACCTCTACAGGCTCGCGGTGGCTAGTTGTCGGACAGAAGTGCAACAGGTCCAAGTTGACAGAAATGTGGCACTCTGTAGCTTCAAAGGCGTTCGCAAGCCTGCTCCCGGTGGGACAGAATCTCTTAGTCCAGGAGTGTCCGCACAGAAAACCGGAGCACTGGGCCGTTCGCTAGTCAAATGCAAACTTCCGATGCAGAAAACCTGCTGTAGTGACTATAGTCAAGGTATTCGTCTCTGTGCCACAAGCTTCACCCTTCGGCGTTTTCCTTCGTCTTCAGTGAGCTCGCATGCTCATCCCGCTCTTCGCCAGGCGGACTTGCAGATAAGCCTTGGCCAACGCAACGGCTCCAGTCTCGAGCTTGCCCTCGTGGCAGCCCCTTGCCAGCGCTGGAAGATGCTGGAAGTAGGTCATGGGTTCATTCTTCGATGAGTATGAGGCCATGGCCCTTGCCCCGATCCTTGGCCCCACTCTGGGCCTCAAACTTGTCCTGAAGCGTCCACTTCACTCTCCAGGAGCTGTCGGTGGCTGCTTCTGTGGATGTTTCCGCCCCAGCATCCCGGCTCGAACATTGCAGTTGAGGGCTTCTTGGTGTGGTTCTTCATTTCGTTCTTCGTCCTTTCTGCCCGGGACTTCCCTCAACCGGGGGAGGCTTTAGCGTCGCTCGGCGCGGCTACGTGACATGGCAGCAAAGTAATCGTCTTCCTCAGCACTGTTCGGGCCCATCTCATGGCATCAGAGCAAAGACCATGCAAAGACTGGAGTATGTGCTTCGAAACATTGCCAGGTGAGAATACGACATTTTGATTTTGAGAGCAGTCACTTCTGGCCATTGCCGCGTCTCTCCGCAGCTGCAAAAACTGCAATTTGTAAGTGGACGAGGCTGGTGGCCTACGTCAAGGAAGCCGAGGCAATTCTGTCCCTGCACTAGCCCATGCTGCTTTATCTGAAAAGTTACTTCAAGGCAGATCTCTACGCCCTACGCCCACACTGGTTGTAGCATCTCAGGACAACTTGACAAAGAAGTCGCTTGTCGCCTGGGCAGGGGCCTAGTCCTAGTTAGACCGAGCAGGTCAAACGCTTGGATTGCTCCTTTGATGTCTCCAAAACAGCCGGAAATGGTCTTTCGAGTGCATTTACTTGTGAGGATACATGGAACTCCATCGTGTAATCTGCAGTTCACGGGCGGTGAGGACCGTGATCATCAAGATCACTTTGTCATGATGACTATCACCGCTCCTACTCACTCTTGCGACACCGACACTGCGAAAACCACTGCCACCGCCGCCGCCACGAGCAGCAGCACCACCGCCGCCCCCGCCACTACTGCCACTGCCACTAAGGCCACCCAAGGCCACCCAAGGCCACCACGACCACGGCCGCGACGACCACGACTACCACGACCACTACCGCCGCCGCCGGCCGCGGCCGCGGCCGCGGCTGCCGCCGCCGCCACCGCCACCACCACCACCACCACCACCAGCAGCAGCAGCAGCAGCAGCAAAATAAAGACCGTCCGGCTGCTGCACTGCTCCGGTTGCCCCTACCATGGCCGTTGCTATGAGAAAACTCATTTTCGAAATGCCTTTTTGTAGCAGCAGGTGTTCCTGGCGTCACTCGACGTCTTGGCATCGCGGGTGGCATCCTTCGCATCCTTCGTTGCAGTGGCTCGGTCGCACCACTATGTCGCACTGCTCCGCAGGCTGCCGGGTCAAAGGCTTCACGTCTCGAGGTTGATTCCTGGCTCTCACAACACCTTGGATCTTCATATGCACACAA